GGCGTTGTTGACTGCACATTGTTGACCAATATGGTCCATGTACACTGTATGGAGTATACAGACTGCTAAAAAAAAGCAGGATCTTCTCGCCTTCTTCTGCCAACGAGATCCCTAGTTTTTTAAATAAATAAGGCCTGACTTGTAGAAACCTTTTTTTTTTATTTTTGAAAGTAATATTCATAAGAAAAACAAAGTTCTCAATGTGGAATCTGACACATGAATCTGTGACATTCGTATTGGTCTTGGACATCATATCAGCCATTAGACTCATCCACCCAACCCAGAAACCTCTTATGCTGTGAATGCATTTACAACATTTACTGCAGGTACCTTTGTGCACATTAGAATAGAAAAAGAAAGCCAAGTACTTACAGTGTGATTTTTATCTATTCCTGACATGAGTCCTACTGAAATAATATGGAAAAATCCACCATTGTCTATGTAAATTCTGTCGTTTCTGTTCTCGGATGTCACAAATAACATTATTACTCATTTATTAAACAAATGTAGATGATCGGTGTGGGCTGCGTCCTGTTCATACCGAGGCTCTTGGATTAGTCCCAGGCTCCTTGTGAAGGGGGTTTACAATGGATTACTCTTTCTGCTTTCCAAAGTGATGCGACTCTAGAATGTTTATTATTTCTGAAAGTGTTTCTTTAAATAGCAAGTCCACTTATGTGAGATATACTGTATGCATACAAATATATTCACACACATATATAATCATGTATATTATCGTTGCATGGGTAATAAAGTCTCTATAGCACACAAGGCTGCTTTCCTATTTTCCATTTATTTTCTGAAACCGCTTTGTCCAGTGTTTAAAAGTTTCCTGTATAATGTGTGACCAGACTAATATTAATCAGGCATAAGATATCCAGAGAATGGACATATTCCAAGATGATGTGATTCTACGACGTGCGGCATTATGTCTTTGTTCATGCATGCACTTCTCTGCACAGAAGGACATAATACCAATAATTGATAATGGCCCCAAGTGTTTCTGCAGAGGTTTGTAACTGGAAACCCGATCTCAGCCGCCTGCACAGCAAATGTGAATGCATTAAACCTGTGCAAAGGAAAATAAATCCCACTTAAGTAAGTGAATAACCAAATATTTGTGTAAAAGTACATTGCAGGGAAGAGTAGAAAGAAAACATCTCTGCTGTTATACTGAAACAAATAAATATCCAGGCATAAGAAAACACATCACCAGAGAAGTGCTTGTATAGTCTAAATAGATGGCTGTGATGCCCAAAGATAATAAATAATGAATTACTAATCTACACTAAATAGATTACCATATAATTAGTTATGAATCACAAAACCCTGTATAGAACAAATACAGAAGTAACAAGTATACCTGTACAAAGCAGATCATGGAGTTAAAGTGCATTTGACATTAGAGAATTATATAGGCTGCCATTGCTGACCTATCCTGGCTGTCATGCTCATGGTTTGGCTTCACTGCTTTCAGTGTCACCCACTCAGAGCAAGCATATGTAATTATAATGCCAACACTTTTTTGACGCTTATTTACAGCATGCTTGATCTAGATTTGTACCCCAAAAGAATTTCTGGCACATTTAGGCAATTTTCAGATGGAGGCCAGCAATATTAGCACCTCATACATAGTTCTCTAGTGACAGGGGCATACTTCAAGGTAGCAAATGGAGGTTAGCCATCTTTGTTAGCGCCATTCCCAATACTGCATGCACGTAGTGTCACTGGCATCCCAGCCACTTCTTTGACTGAGCTCTGTATATACACTGAGTGGCCAGTTTATTATGACCACCTGACGTTTGTAGGCAAATTAGCTATAATTAGCTATAATTTCGCGCTGAAGTTGCTAGAGGGCCAAACCATTAAGCGGCTGTATTCGGTATCTTCCATTGTAGTGTAATGTAAATGTGTAAGCCGTATAAGTCCAGTAGAGAAGATGTATAAAAAAAACAAAACGGAGTATTGTAGTATGCGATGATACCTTTCGTATTGGACTAACAAAGGGCTACAGGGAAAAGACTATATCCAAAAAAATTAAATCTGCCCTAGGAACACCACGAGAAAGACTCCTACAGTACAAGGAGAAGAAAACCCCAACTAGGACCCCTCTTGTAGTTACCTACAACCCCACTTTAGAGGTAATACGCAAAAGCATCAAAGATCTACAGCCAGTTCTCAGAAGACCCCATACTTCAATACATTTTCCCTCAGCCCCCAATACTGGCTTTCAAGCAACCACTGAACCTGAGAAGAAGATTGGTACGCAGTAAGCTGATCCCAGAAGAGGAACGGACACAGAATGGCACAGTACAATGCAAGAAACCCCGCTGCAAACTTTGGCAACATATATGTGACAAGAATACAGCGAGTCACAACAACAAAATGTACACCATTAAGGGATCATACTCATGTACATCTGCTAACGTGGTTTATATGATACAGTGTTCAGCATGTGACAAAGGCTGTTACATTGGGGAAACTGGCCTTAAGCTGCATCTCAGGATGAACCTACACAGGAGCTCGATCAAGAACCACAAAGAAAATGAATATTGCACTCCAGTAGGACATCACTTCTCCCACTCCATCCAAAACCTCAATATTAAAGTACTGAAAGGGAATTTTAAAAACTTTCATTAAGGAAAAGCATTCGAAATAAAAATGATTTTACATTTCAGTTCAATAATGTGGATTCTGGTTTTCACTACCAGAACTTTCTATGAATATACAGAACATAATAATATTCATGTATGTTGTATATCCTTGATCTGTTTAGGATTTATTGGTCATCCTATGTTTATTTGTTCTGTGTTCTAGTTATCAGGATACATTCTTTACTCCCAGGTGTAACATTTATGACACCCCACTCACCCCCCCTCCCTAACAACTTTCTCTGGCTTTAAGTGGTAAAGGTTGTCATGTTGATCAGTATTGCTTCTGACCTGAGGAAGAGAGGTTAACTCTCGAAAGCTTGTCTTTTATATATTTTGTTAGTCCAATAAGAAAGGTACCATCGCATACTACAATACATATATACATACACAATAGGGGGAATTTATCAAGGGAGTTGCTCCACTTTTCTTTAAGTGACAAATTTTCCACGTTATTTGCACCTTATTTATCAATGCAGTCTAAGCTATGATAATAAATGTCATTTTCATTAGACATGCTGGGGGAATTTATCATAGCAATTGCGAGTGTTTGAACTTGCACGGAATATATTTGCACCAGATTTATCAAGCTAGTATAATGTTGTTGATAAATTAGGTTTAATAGACTCCAGGAAAAAAGACTTCTAACTTCAGGCAAAAAGCTTAACTGTCGCATCTTGAAGAAGTGGTCACGGGGACTTCATAAGTTGTGACTGTTTTCTTAGGTGATGCTCCAGTTTCATACAGCGCCGGAACAAGTAGAGATGAAAACAGGTGCAAAAAACATGCAGTTGAAAAAGTGTGCAAAACATGTGCAAAACATGTGCAAAACATGTGCAAAAAACATGTGCAGTTGGAAAAGTAGTGCAAGCTTTGGGCAAAACACGTGCAGTTGGAAAAGTAGTGCAAGCTCAGGTGAAAACAGGGGCACTTGTTAAAAGACAAATTTACACATAAACAAAATGATCTAAGAGGCTAAAACTGTTGTAATTGCTTTGATAAATTCCCCCCAGTATATATATATATATATACATATATAATTATTTAGAAGCTGGGATTAGAAAAATACCCCTCTTATGGAGCGTTTTAATACAGCATTTCATTTAATTTATTAAACAAATCCTGTTCCCATACATAGGTTGCAATTAGTTATGGAAATAGGGCAGCCATGTTTGTGTACTGTATATGCACACTCTGCTTAATAGTGCTACACAGTGTAGTGTCTTGCTGAACCTCAAAGTTGCCCGACAAGGCCTGATTGAAAACAATAGACTCAGCAAAGGACAAGTACAGTAGTACCAAGTATCCCTATACATGATCCCTAATGATGTGAAACACTCACTGTAATCAGAGGCAACATGCAGGGCAGCCATCAGGGGGGTACGGCCGATACTCATGTAAGGGGCCCGGGCAGCCTGGGGGGCCCACCCAGGTCCCTTACATGACTATCGGCCGACGGTGAAGGGCAAGGAGGCGGAGGCCTGGCCCTAGCAGCGCAGGGCCCCAGCATTGCCGCTCCAGCGGCTTTGAGACAAGCTAGGGCCCCATCAGCGACGCTGCTCGTCTGATGTCGGACTGGCTGGAAGTGACGTCATGTTAGTGACGTGACGTCACTTCTGGCCGGTCTGGCAGCAGACGAGGCCATGTGTGCAGGTGAGAGGAGCTAGGAAGGAAGGAAAGGAGGGAGGGGAGGCATGCAGCCCTGACCAGCCCACCTGAGACCCCTTCAGAGCCCACCATAGACAGTCTCAGATGGGCTGTGCAGCATCTATGGTGGGCTCTGCAGGGTCACTCTCAGGTGGGTCCTGTGTCCAGCGCGTCACTAAGCCCTGTGTCCAGCGCGTCACTAAGCCCTGCGTCCAGCG